CGCCATTACAACAAAGAGCCACTGACAACCTCTCCTTATTTTTCTTTTTACCTGCCAATTGTTGAGTTGCCAATGTCGTATCAGGTTCCATCCGGAAAAATAGTCCAGTTTCGTCCATGTTATATATGTCCTTCCATGTGTAATTATTTGTTAACTGCTTAAGACCAGTAATGGTTTCTCCGATCACTAGTTTGCTCACAGAACCACTCTCACCATGCATTTGAATCTGCTTTAAATTATGCCGTTTTTTAAACTGACGAAGCCAGCCATTCAAAAACATAATTGCATCCATATTCGTATCAAAATGATTTGCAAAAGATCGTGCTTTTTCTACTAACAATTTATCTGTTAGTGGTATTCGTCCTTGAGCTTGCAAACACCATTCCAGTAGTGCTCCCTCAAATTCTGGAAATTTTACAGTTCGGGCACGTTTCTGGAGGGGCTTCTGCAATTCATCTATATCCAAGAACTCACTTGATCGTTTTAGCAATCGAGATATTGTTGCTTGATCGACTTCCACTCTTAGCGTCTGTTTACACCATTCAATGAGACCCTTTTGGGTGATATTTGGATTATCATGTTTTTTCAAGCAAATTTCACGTCTTTGTATATTCGTTAAGGTCGTTTTTGTCATGAGAAGAAAGAAAAAAATTTTTATTAACGCTTGCAAAAAGAATTTTATTGTAAATATTTATCGGCAAAAATATCCAATCAAATCATTTTTGCTCCATATCATGTGACTATCCTCTAAATGCATAACTCCTCTAAATGCATAAATTTCTGCGGTCCCGACAGTATGCATTTAGAGGAGTCTCACTGTATACGTATATAATTGGTGGCCGATCACCCCAAACCTGATTTACATATACTGATAACCCCCAAATATACTCGTTGATTGTTAAAATGTAAGTCAAAAGTATTCCTAAGCGCTCATTAAAGTTTGTTTCAAAAGTTATATTTCCAACCCTTTATTCATTCTTCGTCTTCTTTAGTATCTACAAGATTCCTTACTAGATTATAGCAACCCGATTGTTATTACCGACTGTATAAAAGTTGAAAAATACAACGATACATTACTAAATCTGCTTCATCTTCATAGTAGAGTATACGTAATTTATTGTTTGATGCTTTAAAGAACGATTAATGTCATGATCAAATAGATCGTAAGATGATGACACAGTAATAGGGTGATATAGCCAAAATCTACTTCCTAATGCTGCCTTCATTATTTGACAATTCTTGTTTTGAGGATAAATCGTATCAACATTGTCATGATTGAAAAATCGTACGATGATACGGCTATCTACCTTCGCTGTTTGATAATTCTTGTATTGAGGAATAATTCGTATGATATAATACATTGTCCTTCTGTGTTACCTTCACTGTTTGATGATTTCTGTAAATAGTACATGGCATCGTATGATTACCTTCATTGTTTGATAACTTCTTATCGAGGAATAAATCATGGGATGACACATTGCCATGATTAAAAATACATCGTATGATTACCTTCATTTGTTTGATAATTTCTCTATCGAAAAATAAACCGTATAATAATAATGACATTGTGTGATATATACAGAGGGTTATCAAAAGTTTCCGAACGAATTTTTATGCAATATAAAACACATAATTTTTAAAACTCAACCAAAAACTTTATTAAAACTTTATTTTAAGCTTACCAAAACCTACATTTCGTATTATTAAACTAGTATTTAATTGGGCCACCTTCCGCCCAATCACCGCCTGAATTCGTGCTGGCATACTATCGACTAAATTTTCGATCATACATTTTGGAATTGCTTTCCATGCATTTTTAACATCCCTTTCAAGTTCAGCAAGGTTGGTTGGCTTTTTAATGTATCATAAACTGTTGCTTTGCCACATCCAACAGTTTCTGCAATCTGATTATACGAATTACCATTTTTACGAAGATAAAATATAGCACCTGTTGTTCCGCGGTTAATTCGTTATTTTTTCCCATTGTTGCAGTTGTACCACCCACAATTTGTAAAAAAAAGAAGAAAAGAAGTTAGAAAGAAAAATTGAATTAGAAATGTTCTTTAAGACAAAATAAACAAAAACAAACCATATTTGTATAATAAACATTACCTTTTTTGTATAGCAATCGCGTTCCAAAATCGCGTTCCAAAAATCACGTTCCAAAAATCACGTTCCAAAAATCGCGTTCCAAAAATCGCGTTCGGAAACTTTTGATAACCCTCTGAAGTAAGCCCAATTGTTCGTAATTGCATGGGTCTTAGTAACCGCAAATGTTATAAATAGACCAGGCGGATGTTTGGAAAAAGCAACTTGCAAAATTCAAAAACATAATCATGGAATACTCATTTCTTTCTCAAAACAAATTTAACCAAATCGTTGAAGAACACGTTAAACTCTGTCGAAATCCAGCAGAAATATCATTACGGAAGAAACTGCGCAACAAGTAATCCGCCTAATCGAAAATAATTTTGAAGACGTAAATGTTGATTGTAACACGACCAGATGGGCGCGAAAATATTTATACAAGAAATAAGCAAAAACCATCAACAAGTCGAAGTGTGCGTTTGCACTAAAGAAGAAATGTATTCAATTTTTTGTCGGATACATAACGGCGACATTGGAGAAGGTCATCGTGGTCAGAGCGCAACCTGGAATTCTCTTAAACAACAATATTGCTGCTTTCCGCAAAACATATGCCATGCAGCACGTAGGGCATGCTCAGTTTGTTGCACAACCAAGGGAATTCAGAAAATACCAGAAGGGAAGCCTATAATTGCTAAGAGATTCCTTCAACGCGTGCAGGTAATATTAATTAATTTTATACAATTTTGTAAGTTATTAGTTTACGCTTTAGCTTTATTATAGGTCGACATTATTGATTTGGCACAAACACGGATAACGAATACCGGTACATTATTCACATGAGAGATCACTTTACGAAATTTAGCTGGGCGAGAGCAGCGAAGCAGAAAACATCGGAGAATGTTGTAAATTTTCTTTACGACATATTTTTAATGTTTGGACCGCCGGTAATAATCCCGTGTGATAACGGAAAGGAATTTTCTGGTCTAACCAAAAAACTTTGTGATTTGTGGCCAAATCTGAAAGTTATCCATGGTCGACCGCGTCACCTACAATCGCAAGGTATGATCAAACGGGCTAATGGTATCCTGGAGACTAAAATCGCCAGGTGGATGGAAACCGACAAACAGACGAATTGGACAACGTTTTAGGTCGTATAGTATATACGATGAATTGCGAAGTTTCTAGGACTGCTAAGCTTTGTCCATATGAATTGGTTTTTTGAATTTCGCTACATAAGGACCGGACGAATTGGTATAACAGAAGAGATATTGGCTGAGGGTATCATTGAAATTGAAAGTAACGATGAGATTAGAAGTAACAATGGGATTGAAAGTAACGATGAAATTGAAAGCGACGATGAGATTAGAAGTAACAATGGGATTGGAAGTAACGATGAAATTGAAAGCGACGATGAGATTGGAAGATTGAAAGTAACGATGAATTGAAAACGAATATGAAGGTAGAAATTGTTTATGCTATTAACTCAGACTGTTTTATTTATAAATTCAATTCATTTACGGTCATATCAGAAGTATTTAGCATACAAATGTATATTAATCTAGTTCTAATTTTTAATTATTTTGAACTTTTAGATGCTTCTGCTGCAGATGAGACAGAAGGTATGGATATAGACGTCAGGGAAACACACGCAGAGTTTGATGACTTTTCAGACAGCGAAAGTGATATTGCTGGTAATTATAAGTGTATTGCATTATAGACATAAACTAACAAAATAAATAGAAGAATCGCAAGACCAATGGTGGTAAAAGTGCGAATTAAAACAGGGTAGCAACTTAAAATTTTAGTGCCCCTTAAAATTACCTCTTAATGCTCCTATGTAACGTTGGTTGGCATGCCGAGTGGCGTATGTGCAGATAGTCTTGTGAAAAAGCCAACATGGCATATACACCGCCTCGCTCTGGTTTTTTATCTTTTACTGCATTAATATGACCCCTAATAGACAATCAACCTTTCTATCATGCTTACAAGGAAAACCGTTCATCCGTCTTGATCAAAATGGTCTGAAAGTGTCACGGATCATAGGGCTAGATATTAAGATACGCGTAAAGAATAAAATGAACATAGGGACTTTTTTTGCCAATTCAACGAAATTGGTTGAAGAATCACAACATTTCCGTGGGTTGGTAAAAGGCGCGGACATGGCCAAGGAAGAAGGCTGTAAAGTTATAGAGATCGGTGGTATAGAGCCCGACGTGTTTGAGAAGACAATTAGGTATGTAACGGTTCGGCATAATGCAGAATGCAAAGGTGCGGCCAAGTTTCGATATATTCTATTACTATAGCATATTCTACATATTTATTGATTTATTGACAATGTTAATCGACTGCGTTACCAGATATTTTTACGTCAAAGAACTAGATGCGATAGATTTCAACATACCGACGCTACTAGAAATGTATATAACAGCTACAAACTTAGACCTAACCTTTCTTGCCTGGGACCTCTCTGCTAAACTTCTTGAATGTCCAACTTTGCTCACAGAACACGACGATCTTGTCTCCATCTTAAATAAAGTATACAAATATGACGCGCTTGTGTGGGTACAGCATCAACTCTCATCCCAGGTAAACCAAATATTACTTGCCCTATATTCTTCTCCAATACTAGTATGCCTGGAGGAAGGACCTTTACGTGCACTAGCAATGCACTCGAATCAACATGGCAACCAACGAATGTTTATTGACATTATTATTAAATGGGGGCTTGCTCAATGTGGACTGCTGGGAAGCAGGATTAGACAATGGAGTGAAGCAGAGTTCACCTTGTTGATGGCAACTATTGGAGATATAATTGCTGCTAATCTGTATTTTGTTGAATATCCGTGGAGTTATGCCCATTCGAAACTGTTGCCTATAAAAAAGTTGGTGTGGGAAGGTTCACTGCATGTCATAAAAGATTCAGAAGGACAAGAGAATGCACGATCAAGCATCCAATGCACGTCGAAATTTTTTGATCCGATAACTCCTGCAGCAAACGAATATTTACAGGAAAAGATGGAAACGTTCAAAGAGTTGTTCGAACAAGAGACGAGAAAATCGAGTTTGTTTGAAAAAGTGAAAAGCTTTTTCAAAAGGTTACGAGAATCCGATCGAAATTCGCATTTATATATGGCTCCTGCCCAACTGGTATTAAAGTTTCATAAGCGACCTGAGAATAACAAGTCATTTTCTGGTTTTTATTCTCAACAAGATAAGAGCGAGACGCCGTGTCTCGTCACTATGGTAACGTCGGAGAGAATTTACGCCATATTCTTCCCGTCTGGTATCGATCTGGATGTGATCAAGTTTGTGATATACTTGATGAAATGTAACATTGGACCGTTTATGGACGCGTGGAAATTGAGCAATAACACGAGAAGTAAAAAGAACAAAAAGCAGGATCGCTGTGCATATACGACTGCCTGGGAAGTATGCAATTACAATAAAGTGTGTGAGAATTGGATATCGGACAATGCGCACGTATATGGAGTTACAAAGAGTATTTGCAGAAAAAAGTCTTTGAAAGACATCGAGGCAGCATTGGAAGGTAGTGACTTTAGAGTTTACGACATTATAAGGAAGAAAATAGAAGTCGGTGTTATGGAGTAAAAAATACAGATGATTAAATAGAATGAGGACCATTGTAGAGTTCACGTTAGCGAGTCTCCTTAGATGTACAACACTCGAATAGAACGGCAATTAGCCGTGTTTGTAAATTAACCTCCCCCCCTTTCCCCCAAAAAATATATATAATCGGTTACTGAATTGAAAATGCGCGTTGTTATTGTGGTCTTTGTGTTAATTGAAATTGACAAGTGTAGTCATAAACGTCATGCATTGTCCGCGATAATGCATTAGCCTATATCACCACTAGAGCCACACGAATGAAATCTGAACCTTTTGATAGCAGCATGCTCACAATGCAACCCGAGTCGGATATGCTTATACAAAATTTTATTTATTCAAAGAGTAATTACATATGGCCAAAGTATATCTTCAAAAAAAATATATACCCAAAATTGGTAATTATGAGAAGTAATGCTTATGTTCATTAAATTTCAATATCACCCATTACATATTCCTCGTACGAGACAGCTTCTCTGGAAATGGATAAGTTTACATCTTTAGTATAAATCTCGCTAGGTTGAAAACGGGTAAATAAATACAGTTACCTTTTGTTCTCAGTCTCACTGTCGGTATCAGTGAATTCATCGATTTCTTCATCTTCTTGCATTGGAGCATTTAAACTAACCGAAACTCGTTGAGATTTGAATACGCCAATTACCTTCCCAATTAAACTGCTTCCCAATTAAACTGCTATCAGAGTCAACTTACCTTATTCCGCGAACGGTGAAAAATAAAATTCGTCTTAGTTTCTTGTTAAAGAAGAAATAATTAAATGACCATCTGAAAATGGGAGTTCAACCGTTCGAATTAATATACGTGTTTTGATAAGATTGTTGGGTAATAGTAAAGAAGGACAATTAGTTTAATCAGAAATTACCAAATTATTATTTTTTTTTTTGTTGATTATCAATAAAGATAATTATGGCACTTTATTATGCACTTACATGGCACCTTCTTCAATGTTTGGGTCCGAATCCATGTCAGGGTTGTACGAATAGACGTCGCACTCATCCAGTTCGATGATATCATCGGTGACTTGCCATAGATTCAAACCAGTCACTATCCACCCATGTCCGAGGTTAAAAAGCGTATTGTTTACATAATTGCATACATGCGACAAAGATGGGTGCTTTGTAAACTGTTCAGGTTTCACATCGCTAAGCATACATAATCAATACTTCAGATAAACGAATCCCAAGGAAACCTCATTCTTATTCTCGTCATCTACACTAATCTCTACCACCCCAGACGCATATCCGCAACAAAACCACTCACGAAAAGTCATAGTCGGGATACGATGCATTCAAAGTCGCTATCAGATTGAACAATGTCTTCCTCGACGATGGTTTATCCATCGGACCGAATGGAGATACTGCATTCTGCATATACTCAGGCGAATTAGAAAGATCCTCTTGGTATCTATTCTCCAAATGTTTGTACAGTTTCTTATCTGCTCCGGCTACTTTGCCTATTCGAACGAGACCAATCTTATGACTACTGTTCGATGGTAATTTATTGATGCTCGTTTGTATATCAGAGTCTCCTTTTTCCTCACGACTTACATGAGTAAGTTTCGACTCGTCCGAACACTTTACATTCAGGTGTGTCAAACACTAATGCAGTGTTTATGACATCGAGCGCCGGTATTTCAAGAAACTTCATTCTGTTGATGGGTATGTAATGTAATGTATATGAGTATAGGGAGAGACGAGAACTAATTAATTGCGTGAAATCTATAGAATGTCTTTCTTATTGGCAGCTAATATTTAGTTGAAAAATGAGGGATTCTTATAAATGTAATAATTTGCCGCTAAGCAGCTAATTTATGAAGAGAATTTTCCAGGTTCGAAGATATTGGAAGGCGAGGATATTAAGCGTGTGAACTGAGAGATACTAATACTTGATATCAAATGACAGCTTATCGTCATTTCTAAAAACGGATGGTGATCTGCAATGTTAGTGGTCTTGTGACCTGCCGAAATACTTAGCTGTTTGAAATTCAATAGTGATACGAGTACAATACCTTATCGGCGTTACAATGTCTAGACTCCGCTCGTTACTTGAATCTGCATCTGCTTCTATCAACGTAGCAATAGATGAATTAAATACACGTGAAAAAGCTGAAGAGCAAGAAATCCGTTACATATTAGATGGCGATTCGATTAAGGCTGTCACTAGCAGCAGTAAATCTGTCCATAAGGCAACTCTCCGTAATGAAAGTTTGAATGCCAACAATGACAACCACGTTTCGATGCGCAATTCACCGATCATTAGAATCCCTAATCTTTCGTCTACGGCCGAAATCGAACGCAGACCAACCGGGGTAGTCAACTCAAAACTCGCACAAGTTGCGCAAAAACTCGATGTACCTCTTTCCGATTTGGACATTCACGATAAAAAACATTGGGCAATCAGCACTCTTCTCGATGAAGACGATGCTGCCTATATTGCTGCTAAGAAGAGGTTCCTTGTAGGATTACCTCAAGCAACTATACGAGCCATTATAAGGTTGCAAATGCCTCAATATATTGTCGATAATCATATTGCATACAAAGAGCGCATGGCTTCAGAGTGGAATATGACACCCACTCAAATAACGCAGAAGATGTATCATGGTACGAAGAAGGTTTGCAATCCGTTCGACCTTATAAATGGTGGGAGGCGTTGTGAAAACGCTGCGTGTGGCTTATGTGGAATAATGAGAGCAGGGAATAAGGGTAATTTAGGGAAATGCGGAGGAAGCCGGATGTGGTTTGCAAATTCGTCTTCAATATCTCGTGGTTATTCGGGAAGTGGTGGATTATTAGTTATGTTCATGGTAGATGTTATTTACGACTCTCCAAATCATATTATAATTGTAGATAAGGATGAGGTAAGCAAGCAGTATCTTGTTAAGCTCGGTGTCAATCCGTTGTTAATTTTCGTCATTTCTTAGGCCACATTACCGCGTTTCCTAATATTATACGAGGGATAAAATCAGTTTACTTTGCCACAATATTGTTGTAAGAGTAATCAAGGATAAAAATATCGGATGATTCCGATTGAAGCAAGCAAACTGAATAATAGCAGGGGATATTTCATCTCAATAGCACACTTTTCGCTTCAACTTGCGTAATTGCAAGGGAGATGTAAATCTAGATGTACTAATAGTGTTTTTATAATAAATCAAAGCCTGATCAAGTGTGTAAGTGAGCAGAGTGGAATAAATTATGCTTTCGATAATTATAATACGCTCGTAATTCGATCGACTGTAGTTTTGTTTATATCTTAGTATTAGTGCTGGTTTTATAACCAACCAGTTTATACATACATCATGACCATAGAACTTTGATTTGTCGCGTACATTAGAATTGGTTCGTCTTTCTTTAATACCAGTGCACGCTCAACCTATTGGAGAATCATCTGCTTTAAAAATTCAAAATTTTTCTCATCGAGTAGGACAAATCTGGCATTATCGTTAGTTCATCTCCATGTGACTACGGCAAACCACAATGAAGTCGGCTTTACTGTGGGAAACTGTAGCCAATTGCTCCACTACGAAGGCTAGGGTTTCTAAGCTTATACTTCCTCATGGAACAGTGGATACACCTGTATTTATGCCTGTTGCTACTCAAGCCTCTTTAAAAGGCATTACATGTCAGCAATTGATGAATTTGGGATGCCAGATCATGTTAAACAACACGTATCATTTGGTAATTGTTCAAAGTGATCTTACATGCAGAGTCAGGGAGGAAAGAGTTCATTTGGTTGTCATTCCAGGGATTGCGACCGGGACAAGCTTTATTAAATGAGGTTGGAGGTGCGCATAAATTGCAATCATGGGAAAGGAATCTTCTCACGGTAGGTGAGTTAATGCAGCAGCAATTATGTTATTATTAGCGGTAAAGCAAGGCTTTATATCTCGATCATCCCAATGTCTCATTATCAAACTCGATTCTCCCTCCAAACGATTAGGATTCTGGCGGATTTCAAATGGTCTCTCTCCTGACGCTTGCTGAAATTACCGAGCAAGGCGTACAATTTCAATCGCCACATGATCACAACTCATCTATACTGCTCACACCTGAACACTCCATAGACTTACAGAACAGCATTGGTGCAGACATTATCATGCAACTTGACGATGTTGTGTCGTCACTTACTACTGGACCGAGAGTCGAGGAAGCAATGTGGAGATCAATCAGATGGCTGGATAGGTGTATAAAGGCTCACAAGAGACCGCATGATCAGAATCTATTCGCGATCATACAAGGGGGGTTGGACGTGGAATTGAGGAATACGTGTCTGAAAGGTGAGTGATTTTGTAAGATGGGGTTGTTTGTGAAGATTGAAAATATTGATAAATCTGGTATTTTATAGAGATGATAAAAAGGGATACTCCTGGTTATGCAATTGGTGGATTGAGTGGCGGTGAGGAGAAGGACATTTTCTGGAGAATGTGAGTAAACGCCTATTGTTATTTGTGTTTTTCCTTTGACAACAAGATGAAGATACTCATATACCGTTCGATAATAAGAGTTACTCAATGCACAGATGTACTCCCTAAAGACAAACCGAGATATTGCATGGGCGTAGGATACGCAGAAGACCTTGTTGTCTGCTGCGCGTTAGGAGTTGATATGTATGATTGTGTGTACCCGACTCGAACAGCTGTGAGTATTAATTAGTTGGTTACTTGTGTTTTTTTTATCCACATCAACTTACATCCCACCAATATACCTTGGGCAATCCATCTTTGTTTTAGCGTTTTGGTAACGCATTGACTGCTCAAGGCATACTAAACCTGAAAAAGTCCCGATTTGCATCTGATTTCAATCCAATCGAATCAGATTGTGACTGTCTCACATGCAAATCGTATACGCGAGCTTACGTGCATCTTCTTGCCACGCGTGAAACTGTAGGGTGTCATTTGATTACGCTGCACAACGTGGCGTATCAATTAAGACTAATGCAACAGATTCGAACGGCAATTACGGAAGACAAGTATCCTCAGTTTGTGAAACAATTCTTTAAGACCTTGTTCAAGACCAAGGACAAGTATCCTGTATGGGCCGTGAATGCTTTGAAAAGTGTCAATATAGATCTCATGATCGATGATGATTAAAAGATAACACATTAATAAAGGTTATGTAGAGGTCTGATAGAATGATGCTGTGTATATAACATTTGAGAGAGATTGACGCGTCAAATGGTCTCTAGATATGTCTATTTATTAAATTCCGATACTCTAAAATCACAGCATTATTTGTTTCGACTCTTGGAGGATGAAGGCTGTGAAATACTCTAATGGGTTAATGCTTACGTCTTGTTAGTCTCTTTCGAATACGGAAGACCCAGCTATTCTCTCAACCATTTCGGCATTTGCCACCAGCCCATCAGCAAAACCTCTAGCGGGCCCATTAGATGGCACCCAATCGTACACTTTACCACTCCGCCAATCTATGTCCATGGAATCTTCACTGCCTGCATACTCATCATCATCTTCGCTTTTGAATTTAGACAGTATGCACTCGGTGAAATGCTCATGCAGAGTTTTCTCCTCTACCCTGGCCGATGGGTCTATTCGCAACAAGACGTGCGCTGTTAGCAGCCCAAGACTATAACCTTGTGCATATGATGTGATCTTTCTATCAATCAAGTCAATGAGTATGTCACTAAAGAGGATATGAGCTAGATGTGGCGGGTGCAGACGGCTGTTGGACGTATATGATAGCGGTGTGATAAGGATAGATGCTCCTAGCTCGGCTAATGATTCATCATTAGAAATCAAAAGTCAGATTCGCCTCAAGGTAAAATAGGAATCTGGAAATATACCTTTTTGGTTGTAATGAAGCATATCAGTCTTGATATTATCATACCTGCTCGTTTACCTCCTCCAATCTTGCTTGTAGCTGATATTACCTATCCAAGAATATAATAAAATAAAATTAAATTAAATTTCATTTAAGCGACTGCGACAATGTAAACTTTATCGTGAAATTATAATTCTCCATGTCTACCTCCCCAATCAGTTCGACAAATAGACGGGCTCCCCCAACTTCAAGAACGTCTCTTATCAACTCAACGTCAAAATGGTGAGGACATGAAATACTCAGCACTCTATCTTGCACAAAGCTACTTCTTCCGCTCATTACCACAACGTGAAACATCTTGCGAAATCGACGAGTAAGAGTCTCTATTGAATACTTTTTCGTTCGCCATACTGGAGTACCAGACATAGAACAGCAATGTCAATTAGTTACGGTAGGAGGAGATGCTTATATAACAGAAACAAATGTACCAGAATCAAGTGATGATTCAATCTTGGTTCTCATGTCCTCGACATCGGAAGCTGGTAGTTTCGCTCCAATCAAAGTCGTTTGTATTAAATGACCAACTGACCGCGAAACAATTGACGGAAATTCCTCACGTAGGACAAGGTGTTTAAGTACGTTAAGAAGAAGCGGGGACGACTGGCTGATAGATAATTCACGAGGAGAACGTCTATATTCAACCGATAATAAATATTAACGATAACGAATCGAACCAATGCCCTTACCCTAATGTCAAAGATTCCTCGCAAAGCCATTGACATATTGTGATTAAAGCATATGACCAACGAGGTTGTAAGAAAATTTCTAGTCGGCTGAGTAGAACTTCTTGGCTAATAACTTTCTTTTCACAATTATCGCATAACCTGTCTATTATTACCGGCGCAAGATCAATCATTTTCCGCGGATGAGTTGACCTGAAGATAGAAAATCACATTGAGTCAAAAAACTCTCCCTCCTTTCAACACTTAAATATAAAATTTTAGTCTTATTGTGAAAGGTACCTTATTATACCGTCGGGAACTGTGGCTTCTTTTAATAGAGTATCGACCCATTGCTTTACTAATAAATCTTGCTGCCCTTCTGGTGTGATAGTCCCGGGTGTCAACAAAAAGTACTTGTACATAAAGCCACTAGTACCTTGGAATACATCCTCAAGATTTTTGTGCAGCTACAAAGACAATACCCATGAATAACGGGGGTTTCGTATTGTCTATACCATATGAAAGATAAACACGCGCGACTTACTTCATATCGATTAACAATACTACAGATTAAAAAGAATATATGCCCAAAGTTCTCGTAATCTTGTACATAATCATCTATTGACAAATATAAACCTCAATCACACCGTAATCTCTTCATATCATACACATAACTTACGCGTACCAATTTCATCGCTTTCTGGGTTAGTCCAAATGCTGCATAATTCATCCAGCGGAGCAAGCAGTTGAGACGGATGACTGTAGAGAAATATCGCATTAAGTAACTCAAAGTTGTCATTGAGAATTTTACATAGCGTGCCAAGAAGTCGAATTTGCTTCTCAGAACTCCATCTTGTCGCGAGCTAGAAGCCAAGCCAATTCAAATAAGCTGATTATTGTAAATGCTCTTCGAACAATTACCAGAAAGCTTTACGATTCACTCACTTTGACCACAATTTCAACTCTAGTTTCTTGATCAGAGAATGTTGAGATTGGGGTAAATACTAGAGGATCCAATAGGCTAGGATCGGAAAGAATACTCGAAACCAATGACTCAACGTCCTACAACGAATATAATAATTAGTCAAAAAGGCTTAGAAAAATATGTTATTCGGTGACACGTTCCTGCTCCCTAACTGCATTACCATCGAGTCAGACTTTTCCCACGTCATTCCTGAGGCACGATCTCCAAGAAGTCTTGCTATGAATTCCATTCTAATGAGATTTTTCTTTTCGCACACTTTTAGTATATCAGTTGACACGTCGACTGCTCTAAATAAAGCAAGTGATGAGAAATAAGATCATCCGAAAATGCATTGATAGGAAAAGCTATTCGAAAAAAAAAAAATACTCAACGAATACTTTTCGCCGTCTATACTCTTAGGCAGTTGATTACAAGCATTGATCAAACCGCGAAATCCAAATAATTGATTTATTACAGATTCGTGACACCTGTACTAAAGAGACTTGATTATTATGAGAAATCAGAAGTTGAATAAACACCGCTCACATGAAAAAACTGATATGATACCTTTGCCTCGTCATCATAAGTAATGTCTTGCATACGCTCTTGTTTGAGTGCTTCAAGCTTGGCAATCAGCGTTGGTAACTACGAATTAAAAATGGTATTATTATATAATCGTAATCCATCCATCTAGCTCGCAAACGAATATTTACTTTTACTAATACGAAGCTCTTCCATAACAGGATATGACTGGCTGCATTCTCTCGACTTCCGCATGCTTCGGCAAGACCTGTCAATGCGGCCATCCACAGTTCCACGTAGAAAGTTTGATTAAATGCATTCTATTGTTGAACAAGATTGTTTAATATCCATTATCCGTTTAGTTTGATATATATATTTCCACAACTTTACCTGAACACGCTGAAGTTTTTCAAGGTAGTCTACGGCCATATCGATAGGCATTGCCGGTCGATTGCTTGCCTTATAAAGTGATTTATTTTAGATGTAGCCAGAAGAATATCGTTGGATTGCGCAAGTTACATTACCAGATAATAAATAATGAATATGATCCCAGTTGACGGTAATGCTTCATCGACCATTCGGTCTCTGCTATGGATTGGCTTTGTCTCCATGACGAACGAACAAAGAAAGATTTCTCGTTTGACAGGAAAATTGACATGTGATGCGAATCTCAAATTCATATGATTGGTTCATCTGAATGGAGAAATTTCTTATTATTATCACGAGGTTACTGCTTGACGTAATTAAAACAAATAAAAATATTTACCTATGACTTTAATTTTAGTTTCTCTGCTTGTTTGTAAGTTGTAGGGATTGCAAAAATTAATAGCTGAGCGAGCCCAAAGAATAGGATAGTTATCACCTTCAAGGGCCAACTGCTGCAATCTCGTGATTATTTTGAAGGGTTTATCATTATTATCGCTTGTATTAACAATCTGATGCCCCAGCAATTGGTTGGTTATTCTTGGACTTTTATCAAAATCATTGTTTTTGACTTGAATTTAGTCTGTCATTTGCCAAAGAATCTTATGAACTCAAGAAGTCACTGGAGAACCTATCGATGTATGGTTCTGAAACAACCAAAGAAGCTTCTTGCCCTGCAAGGCGCTTCGCGCATAACTGATAGCTGATAATCGAAATGCTGAAGAAGCAGAGCTTCGAGTCTTCGGCTCATCAGTATCCATATTTTAGCTTTACGTGGTATATTCGTAGATAAGATACAAAAAATTTTGACATTTTTTCTGATTATATTATGAAAATGATAGTCTAGGTTCGAATAAGATTATATGGTAAATAATAAAAATAAATCGGGACAGCAATCGGCACGTTTTTTAATATTTTTAGCTGGATTGAACGTTTTTTAGAGTATCGATAAAAAATTATGTGAGAAAAAATTGGGGACAGCAATCGGCACGTTTTTAACGTTTTTAGCTGGATCGAATTTTTTTAGATACCGATGCGTAGAGCACGCAGCTCCGCTGAAAGAAAAATTCGCAACTGATATTAATTTTTTTTAATTGAGACAAATTTATTGAATGGATTATTTATCGAAGACCATTCCAATATGAATATAGATAAACAGAATACACTTGAACCTTCGTTATACCGAAGTGTCGGGGAGGCATCCATGATTCGGTATAACGAGACATTCGGTATAGTGAGGTACCTCTATATAACAAAGTTAGGCCTAGGATCAAGCAATATTCGTTATAATGAGACTTGCAGTATGTGAATAATATCTTTACTAACAATAATGCATGAATATAAACAGTAGATACGAAATACGGCTGAAATCATATGATCAAAAATATTGGCACACAAATATGACAGCTAAAATCATACTATTAATATTAAAAAATCTTAATACTGCAATGTGCAGATATACATGGGGTGATTTAAAAGTCCTGCATATCTAAATTTATTTTACCAAAACCAATAAATAACTGACAAAGTAATTATGACATTCCTTCAAAGTACTTTCCCTTTGCCTCTACATTTTTTCAGCTGATTCTGCCATATATCATAATCAAACAACTTGTAATATTCTTCTCTAGGGATACTGTCAACAATTGCCTGAATGGCATGTAATAGTAATAGTAACAAGTTTTTGACACTATTAAAACTTCTTCCACTCAGTTCATTTTTAATTTTGGGCAATAAGTAAAAATCACAAGGGGCTAGTACTAGGTCTGGACTATAGGGTGGTGGGGAAAAAGTCAGACTCTCCTCCTTGAGATATTCAGTAACAACTGCTGCCTTGTGTAGCACAGCATTGTCATGGTGCAACATGACATCTTAATCTCTAATGGTTGTTGTTCCCTTTTTTCATAAATTTAGAAAAAACTTCAGGCAGAATTTGTTCTCTATAAAGTCCATTAACCATTTTACCTTTTGGAACCACAATTTTTGCCATAATACCATCCACAATATTAATATAAAAGAAACAAAACATTCTTTTTTCAGATTTTGTACAGTTCCGATGATCTGCAGTCTGTTTTCCCCTTTTCCATGTCTTCTTTGCTTGAAAAAGTAAATAAATACATCTACATTTCATTGCCAGTAATAATATTATTGTATATGTAGCCTTTCTCAAGTACTCCCAACAGTTGCTTAGAAAGTTCCACACATTTTTCTTTATGATCTGCTGTGAGCTTGTGTGGAACCCATTTTGCACAGACTTTGTGCATGGCAGAGCAAAAGTAATCTATAACTGCTCTTATCTCTGCTTCATTTGGATTTCGGTTTAAACTACTGATTAGTTCTTTTGTTTCCTCTTCAGTTAAAATATTAGTTTGGTTTGTCATGATTTTAATTCCTATATTATATTTTAATATTAAAAGAGTAATAAAATTTGTGGTTGACTGAAATATTTTTATCAAGTAATATCCTTGAATTCATCTCTAATGAATGGGCAAATATTATGATAAAGATATTCTTGTCTTTTGTAATTCAAAGGAGGAGGGATCAATATGAGGATGGTTTAATTTCTTTGGTAATTTTGGAAACACTTGCTTTTCTAGTTTTTAACAAATTAAATTCAGTAAAGGCAACCAGCTGAGCTTTAACAACTCCAGATCGAGCTGCTTCAAATACAAAATGCTGGTATTTTTGTAAGCCGTTCATTTTTTAAAGAAAATTCCCAGCGCGGAATTAAGATCTAAGTATTGAAAGCCTTTTCCATTTTCATAGCACTGAGCCTTGTTTAATCTTGCTATGCTCAGTCTTTTCACAACCTCAACAATATGATTCACACAATCTATGGTCGTTTTTCTATAAAGCCTTTTAATCAGTCCAAAACTACCATCACATTTGAATTTTGTATGTCCAGGTATCATGAAATTTAATTCAACACTCTCATAATAGCTGCAAATTACCAAATACAAGTAAAATCAAATAGTAGCATTATTTTTATTTTGACCACCCTTATTAGCATGCGTTTTCTTTTTAAGATGTCAGCTGGCAGTTATTTTCCTGCTATTCATTGCTTTCAGTTGGGCCATCAAGTGTTCAGATCTAGAAAGAGCTTGAAAGGCTTTCTGACTTCAGCCTGCTTCTAAAAAATTAATTGCTTGTTTATGCTCAGTAGAACTACTATTTTTATTAATATATTAATTTTAGTACCTTGTGATTTTCCTTCACAGATAATAATATAAATTACTGCAATCAGACTGCAGTACCAATAACAAAGTATATCTCACCTGCATAATAACCATAGCATACCAGTTTTGGAGTGTATTTTCCCTGTATGTCTGCAAGATCTTTGTAAATCTTAACCTCTTTCAACATTTACTTAAACATTGACATTTTTGATAAATCTGTGCTCTTCAGAGCAATCATATGTAGACCCCTTGGAACTCACACAAAAGTGTTTTCCCACTTGACTTTTCTAAAAACCGAATGCGGGATTGTGACTTATCCTACTCCAGCTATACTAATAAGAATCCATGTTAGTATTAGTTACAGGAAGCTCTTACTATTCTCTAATAAATACAATCCACCTTACAGAATTCTGGAATCGTTGATCGATTGTATCTCCGATACCGTTCCAAAAAGCCATCTGCTACTTCCTGAAATTATGCATTTTTATAACCGTGTCATCCGTATTTGGAATACCGCGACATTTTTATTTTTTGGTTCCTTCAATAGATGTTCGTTATCCTGCAATTTAGCCATGAGAGGGGGTCCCATTCGCAGTCAAATTTTCTGGCACGTCGATGGTGAATGGAGCTGAAGCGTATCACTATGATAATGAAAACAAACTGAAGGATGCAACTAAAGACTAATGGGTACCTTGAGAGAAATTTGCGAGCAAAACAACGATGCGAAAGGATGGCGGATTGCATGAAAAATGACGTCGCATACAAATTCTGAGCATCGAAAGATAAAAGCGAGAATTAGTGGTTGTTATTTTGAGGTATAACATAGATCATAGATATATATCATAAAGATATAAACTGCTGGTTGTTGCCAGGTGGACACTGTGGCGGCACCAGCGCGAAGCGTGTCTGCTACACACAACACCATTTTATCAATAAGGCGCAAAAGAGTGCCAGATCGCCTGGCAACTGTCCGCGATTGATAGAGCAATGGGGGACACCGACTCAAAAGTCGAAACACAACAGAAATATCCCCACAGAGCAAGCCAGGCCGTTATGGTCGCAGGGGACGGCACCAGCGCGAAGCATGTCTGCTATACACCCAGCAACGCGGCATCAAAGCGGCGCACCCGACACTGGCGCTCCGTGCATTCTGAAAAGAAAATCTAGGAAAAAGCACTTATCTTGTATCAGCAATCAACGGCATAGTGCTCGACGATGCGTTTGCCAACGGTAAACGTAAAGAATATTCACGGCAAGGTAGCAGTATGAGGACTGAATCACGTGTTAACACGTGACCAGAATTCTCCAAATAAAGAAACAAATCTCGTGGAAAGAATGGATGAACACGATTGAAGTAATTAATAATCTGATCAAGTAACTTGCCAGATGTATTGCACTCCTTTCTTGAAGATATCAAGCTACTGGATATGGATGTCTCTGCCATGAGTCTTAAAATCATTTTGTGTCTTGATGAGGCATGGGTTCTGATTCAATATGAAAACAAAGAGAAATCATTATTGAGACATGTTCGATAATATGAGATCTTTATTGACAACTACAGAAAACTGCTAAAGCTGTTTTTAGACAGCAGTACATAGACAGAACCTATGGAACTAGCTATGACTAACTGAATCAATAAAGAAATGTGGCACATGGCCAGGTAATTATATAGGTATAATTATAGTTGGAGGGGAATTGAGACATGTTCAACAATCTCTACAATGATTACAATTGTGTGGATTTTTCTGTATCATGCTGGACACTCTAGCTACAGTATCCAACTTTGCTCCATCAAAATGATGGGATCCTTCACTTTGTATTTGGAAGACAATAACACCATTGGACCTCTTCCCACCATTCACCTCTGTAATCACCTTTGATGTGTTTGCAAAAAGTAAGATATTTTTATGGTTGGCCACGCAAAATGGGCATTATTACTATCGATAAAGAAAAAGAAGAAAAAATAATGAATTAAAAGCAAAAAAAAGCCCTCCCTAAATGTCTCAGTCTTTGAAACATGTTTGCGTATATTGCAGTAGTGAGTTCCATTCTCGTGGTGCATTAGGCAGCCACCTTCGTATACACAAAATAACTGACAATGTTCTCCAGAGGAGAGGTAGTAACTTACAAGTTAGATATATTTAATATTGTTTGCCACACTTCTGAGTAAAAGTGTTGCCATTCAGGAGGTCATTAGCATAACTGCAACACTTCATTCCTCTCCAAGAAATAGAAATGAACTCTGAGGAAACTGTGGAAGTGGTGTGACAGCTGGCATACTGAAATAAAACCAGAGAGGTGCTGATGTATTGTTGGTTGTTAAACTTGGCAACATAAACAATAACTTCATATATTAATATGCTTCAAATCAAGGTTAGTAATGTTCTTTGATCTGTTTATGGGATTAAATAGCTGGAAAATAATGAATTTGTATGTCATGGCTGTAGAATATGCATACAACAATCTGCAGATATTAATATGTGCAAATAAAAAATAGAGCTGAAAAAGAAAGTTCTCAAGGTCCTGTAATATCCAGAGACAATGATTCCTGTTAAGGTTAGCTTTATTCACAATGCACATTCATTTCTTTTATTTTATGATGTAATATATTTTTATTTCATTTGTGTTAGGGGAAGAATCTAAGAAGTAATTGAAGTGTGGGAAGTGTGGAGGGACAGAACACAATGCTCGCACTTTAACTTGTGAAAAAAATGACATGGCAATCAAATCTAATCAATGCATGAATCTGCTTAATTGGAATGCTTTGGTTTTTTTACTTAAAGATGGTGTCAGGCCCAAGCTCAAATTCCTCCGTGATTCCGCCTGATGGTTCCGGTCTGCTGATCATTGTGCCGCAGAAATTCAATGTGCCGCGTAGAGATTGGTGACACGAATTTGTAACTTAAGCAGTGTCAAATGTAACGATGTAGACTGTCAATTTACTACGCACAGATCGCTCCTCATATATCGAAATCCAGTGCAAAATAGTAAAACGATAGAAGGTATATAAGCAGTTGTAGTTTTCCGCTCTGAACAGCATCTTTAGATCATCTTCAGAAACATTCAGAAACTTTTAGTTCTTATAACTGTTTTTTTAGAATAGTTCTTTATATTCTAATAAACGAAATATTGATCCTGATTTTTATTCCCCATTCGATCGCTGGCTAAGTGATAAAATCGCTTTCTCGATCAGCGGTTAATAAGTTTGATCTTGCCCATCGAACTTATCGGAACTTAGGCATCAGGATTTCTATTTAATTGCATGTTTAACGCGCGTTACTATTTTTAAAACTTTCTCGTCGATAGATTTGCGTTAATCGTTGTTTGACTCGGAGGTTAAATAGAATCCAGAGAAGGCATGTACAGGTAGTCGGATAATAATCCGTAAGTATTGATGAATCTTATTCAAGTCACTAATTGTATAGAGGTTTAGCGATAGTAGGAACAAGCCTAAGATCCGCCGGAAGACGACTAAATCCTAAGGTCGGTACACGAACGCTTTCCCACGTGTGGCGATCCGACAATGGACTTGTACCCAGTAACCTGGCCAATAAATGTTGTGCTTTTCAAAGAGGCAATAATCTTTGTTTTTTTGATTTGTAGTGGATTGACACGGCTTAGGCACCGCAGCTTATTTTGTTGATTCCAGCTGCCTGACAACATAATAATAAGGCCATGAGTAAAACGCGGCTGTAAGAATATTTTCTCGCTCGCAATTGCAACGCCGTTTATATTTCTCTGGCATCATTTTCAAAGATGTTATACTGTTACTCTGATAAATCAGATAAGTAAATCACAGTCATGCAGATCCCATGATCGACAATAATTTTAGAATAGTCGCGATACCCGCCGTTACATATTTTGAGCATCAGTACCAGCGCCACTAGTTAACTTAGAATTTATTGGTTCCTGGAAAATTTCTATGCTGATACCTTTGCTTCAATTTCTGGTAGTTGCTAGTTATATAAGCAGCCTTTATCACATCATCAAATTCTCATGTTGTATACGTTGTTTAGATTTTTTTTTCAAATAAACGATTTCCTTTAAATCGAAATTTTACTTTCTTCATTGTTGCAATATTAATTATTTAACCGGATATTAATAAACGGCTCACTCAAGTTGTATAAATTTTCGTTGATCTAGTACTCTTAATTGAGGAACGAGAGTTATTAATTATTTAAACAAGTATTGGTTAATTAGTTTGAGACAAGTGACAGAATTTGACAGGTCAAAATACCAAATCGAAGATAGCTCCTGTTTAATTTAATTAGAATTTATTCCCCTTCGATTCCGCAGTAGAATAATTGTTGTTGTTGTTTATTGTGGGTGCCATTATTTGGAATCACGAGCGATTTGAAGCTCGGATGGAGAGTGACCTATTTATATAATTAAATTAAATGCGCGCTTCTCAACTTCAGTCTTAATTGAACAACTACCGTAATAATAATGGCGGCAGTACGAAGCTAATCTGGTATAACCCCTGGTCGGAAGAACACCCCTACGCGAAAAGATTAATCGCCCAGACCATCCGACCACAATAATAACGTGGTGGTTGACAAACTCAATTATATTAAAGAGTGCCTCTGCGAAATACGAGGTAATCTCAAGTGGTTCAAACCACACAACAAATATCGCTCTCTGAACCAACCAAATCATATGATGAAGACATTCTTCTAAGACTCTGGAACGAGATTAAACAGCTTTTTGATGCCAAGAGAAAACTCGACGACATTAGCCTGTCCAAAATGTATTGCAAGGTTAAGAATGAGATCAACAACCTTAGGAAGGGCAGCATTGGAGCTTCTACAATAGAGAGATCATAGTGAGGAGGATTGCAAAAATTAATAGCCAAAGAATAGTAATAGGGACAGTTATCCCTTCAAGGCAGGTCTAGGGGCCAACTGCTTCCTTCCCTTGCAAGCTTGTGATTATTTTGAACGGTTTATTATTATTGATCGCTTATGTTAATTAAATAAAGTACACTTCCATCGCCATCATTGCTGCACGAGTTTACCTTTTTTCACATGGTTTCGCTCTTCATGCTCTTCATTTTTTCCTAAAATGATTTCCGCATTAACAAACAATACCCATTTATCGTAATTTTCTGTGCAGATCTTTCGAGGGAGTTTATATCATATTTGATACTTGATACACATCCACCACCCAAGCTTGAGTGTATTTATTACATTTTCCCCGTTATTACTATTATTTTATTTCGTCATCATAATACGATAGTAGACATGACACGCAAATGTGAAATATATATTAATTAATATATGCGCTTTCGCACAGCCCTATTCTTCGGCAAAAAAAAAGATGTCAAAATTTTTAATTCCGGTCGATCTTATAAACCACGTGCGTGAAAGTAAAAATTTTGGCCCGTGTACAATTTTTTATTAGTCTGGCGTACATACATGCAAGCATAGCGAAATTATTTTCGTCATTTCGTCTTAAGACGTTAGGGTTGATTATTTTTGATTATTAGCAAATATTGAAAGTAGAGGCCTTTTCTGTATGTTTGTATGGTTTTTAACCTATGACGAGCTAAAAAATTTAACCAAGATGTGGGCAAATTTTGCTTTAAATTTCTACTACATCCAGTGCTTCAAAAACAGCAAAGTAAGGAGAGGCAATGGCGTATCTGAAATTGTCTGTTATCCATAGTGCATGAAGGATACCAAGAGCTTTTCCTCCTTTGTCCATAACACTCGCTCCCGAGTCTCCAGGCCTAAAGTCTTCATAATTGAATTTAAATATCAATTGTCGGTCAAACCATACGGTAGGATAACACTTCTGACACTTTTTATCGATTTCTTGGATCAATGGTGATTTCATGTATCCGATGAGATCATTGTTATTACGGAGAGGAATTTGGCCTTGCCCTCCTTGCTCTTCTGCAAATTTTATGCTTTCATTTGTTAGATCAATGGAAATAGCAGAGTCAATAGGAACCAATTTTCCAAGAGTAAGGCCCGTAGCTCTTCCTACTTTAAAGACATCAAATTCATTATCAACATTTTTAAATTCTTCGTATGTATAAAAGCCGGTTTAGACAGGTATCTTCAGGAAGATTTGCCTTTTCGAAGAGATCTTTGGGAATTGCAAATTTGTTTGGGCATAATGTACGATTGGAGTTTTTGGAAATACAAAATGCAGTATCAACGCCAAAGTTCTTCTGATGTACTTTAGAGAAGAAGTTTCTTCTCATACCACGCTCATAGCATGCTAGAGCCGAATTCTGCCTGACCTCATTGATCATACTAATATTATGCGGATCTTCTAAAATTTTTTTGAATGCTGGATTTGCATATCCCAATTCATCAAATTTCTGTATTAAATTATCTAAATCTTTGTGCGAAGGTTGATGGATTATAACACCCATTCCAGTACTCGATTCACAAAACCTACATACATGCTCACATGAGAGGATGCCTGTTTGTTCTGATTTTTTATCACGTACGACAGCGCTGAGGGTTCCAGACGTTCCCTGAGATTCAGTTATTCCTATGCTCGATCCTAAACTAACACCATTCTTATAAGTTTGACAAGAAGTAACACCATAACCATAGGGGATTGCAGAACGAGCCTCAACAACGTCTACTGGATACCCACGAATTTGATTCGGAAATTTGTCACACCCACGACGCAGAATGCCCTTCTGGCGAACATATAGTATGATAGCAGGGATTTTAGTAAGCTTTTTTTGAATTCGCTTATAACCGGTGCTCATGCCGACCAGATTATAGTGCATTTCACGGAAAGATTGCCCCAGCTCATTATCTAAGGCTTCATCAAAAGCTTTCTGCAATTTTTTTGGGATCTCCCTTGATTGTGAATCGAGGAGAATTCGTTGTCGAATTTCAGCATTAGAAAGCCCTTCGTCTATTGTTCTGAAACGAATCATTTGATCTTCCATGACAGTCTCAGTCCTTTTTTTGCGTAGGTAAGAAATACTGCGACAAATCACGTAGACACGCCAAGTTGCCTCGTCTTCTTTAAGACTTCGACCCCAGAATATTTCCACGACGTCTTTCTCCGAATGTAGCTGGCGGAGGCGATTCTCAAGATCATCGTCCCAAGGGATTGAAAAATGATCGATGAAGAGACTGTCTTCGTATTTGTAAGAAACAAACTTATAGATTTTATCTCGGACTTCCTGATAAGTCATATTGTTGATTCTTAGGCTGTGGAAATCATAAGGGATAGGTGTTTCATCTGGTTTTAATCTCCTTGCTACTCGTATAAATTCTATAAACGAAGAATATTTTCCATCTTTGGTACAGAGACAACTCTCGCGTAACGTTGCTTTATAAATACGATCTCTGCCTAGATATTCTACACTTCCTCCTTCGTTCAAAAGTCCCACCTCAAGTACAAGGTTAAGACTAATATGTATCAGCTTAGGTGGTTTGACAACGATGTGAATGTGCTTGTCGAGCGGTTTGTCAGTGAAATAACTACTAATCTTCCTACTTGCGAGAAGTTGATCGTTGTTATGGAGTGTAAGTTTATTTGGCTCCTTATCATTATCAGCGCGAATTTGAACCTTCCATATCTTAAGCCTATCCGCATCGAAAAAATTAAATTCAGGAATTTTTTTCGCTTTAATAGCTTTCTTGAGTTGACCAATATTTTCATTTCTGTTGATACTTAAAGGAAAAGCTTGAGCAATTGCGTTTCCTTGAACAAGACAAAATAGTTTTAAGTCATCCATAGTGAAAATTTTTTTGTTGCAAAAAAAATCGTAACGAAAAAATATTCCTCTATATCAACGAATATTTTAAAGTCTTTTATGTTGCAGGAGCGTGACTTCTGTATTACATATCTGGCCAGTTAAAATCTTTTTATCTTTGGATTACGTTTACAGTCAGGACTATTACTCAATATGGATAGGGTCGATCACTCCTTATATGGTATAGAACCATGACATAGAATATAAAAGCGGCGGGGTATTGTTACTCCTTATTTACTTCAATGCTATACAAACTTGCTTAATTCAAATCACTCAAAAATTTCCCTCCTCCCATTCCTTAGCCATACGAACGGCTTCCTTACTATAGCGACAAGGGAAGGTTTATTAACTCGTTACGAACCTTCCAAACATCCAAGACTGACAATAAAAGCCAAGTATTCATTCCAGTTATTACGACCTTCCAAGCCTCTGTTTACCCAAATTAAACCCATAATGGATTACTGGGTCGATGCTGAGGGTTGCTACCACATTCTATTCGTAAAAAAGGTTCATGATGTTTCGAGGGTCTTTATTAGGCACACGGTGATTGTATTTGAGGTTTCGATGTAATTGTATTTGATAAGACATGTTTTATCGTTTTTATTGTAGATTTAAGATTGTCGTGGATATCAAATTTACAATACTGGATCGGCCATGTTTGCGGAGTATAATTTAACAACCTTCTAAGAAAACCGACCATTATCTCTCCCGATATCCTTATATACAGATCCTCGTTCGATTAGCGCGATGTCAATAACTGGTTGAATACGCTTAACTGGTTACAATATCAAGAAACCCATCGTTCCGTAAGTTTTTACGTTGTTTTTTCATGCAGATTGCAAATTTCAGCAGTATCATCATAAGCTTCCTGTAATCGTGCTTTTAACCTTCTACGGTCGCACCTATTACTATACCGTTGGGACCGATAGCATACATTGTATTACTCAATTTTTATGCACTCGTAAACTATGCTATCCGTTATCAATTTTACGACAAAAAAACACTACAATAAGCAATCAACAACACTATCAAATCTGTCTAAAAAAGCAAGAGAATCGAGGAATAATCCAAAAAAATTAATTAAGTAATGTAAAAGTTGATCAAACTTTTAACGCGCTTACCTGCGTAATCATACAAAGAAACTGACTGACTGCAAAACCGATTACAAAAAGAAATTTCGCGATGTAAACTTGAGCTTGCACGCCAAAAATAGTGTTCGCGCTCCCAAGGCCATATTCTTCTCACAGAATAATCATAACTAAAAAAGCTAAATTGTTCGCAAAATATTAATACATTAACAAGTTAACTAGCATAAAAAATACCGTGTAAATAACTTATTCTGAGTCTCTGAAATAAAGCGCTGTTATATGTTAGTAAAATTTAAATCTAATCGATCTGGTTTGGTTGATTTCTCCTTTTACAAATACGTTGACAGGATTAGGTTCACATTTGATGCATATTGCACGTTCACATTATGCAAATAGCTAATGGATCTCACTGAGGGACCAGCTCCTTTATTATTAATATAACATCTATAAACGCTGTACATAGTCAAACTCGATAAGATAACGGTTTAAGTTATTTAATCGAATATACTGCGGCATCAGTTATACAGTCAACTCTGTCTATACCGGCGTGAGTGGTTTGGCGGTTTTTGGCCGCTATAACGAGAGACCGGCATATGATTCAGCCATAAGGGATGATATATAATCTTTGGTGCAGCGAAATTGGACCGGTATAAGGCGAAACCGGTATAAAAAAGGCCGGTATAGACAGAGTTGACTGTATTTAAATCTTCGAATATAACCACTGTCCCTCTTTCAGGAGAAAATTCGTCATTTTGTCGGGCTTTATCGATCGGAACGTAATGTTTTCGCGATGTGGCTTTGGACTATTCGCAATGATTGGTAACAATCCCGATATTTGGGTTCCTTAAGATGGTGTCCAATCAACACGAGATCGTCATTTTTTATATAGCGTGGCACGGCCTTTTTTTCCATTAAACATTCGATACATCTCGTCCCCAAGTAGAAAACTGACAATCATATTGATTTAGACTGACTAATAAATTGAAAGGCCATTTCGGGGTCGAGTTGATGAATCTCTCTGCATCTTTATACTCGTCAATGTGATAAACGAACATTTCGCACCGATCAAGCTTTTCAGTGCGAGCCATTATGCCAGCACCGATTCTCATTTTAAACATTATTATCTTTGGCAAAAAATTATTCAATCCCTTTTCTGCAGGATCAAAGGAAAACATCATAACTATTTATTTGCTAAGACACTCCTCCTATGTTAACTGAAGCTCAGAAGGCGAAACGCATTGAATGGGCTGAGAAACACATTAATGACTCATGGGAGAAGAAATCAATAGTATGTTCGGGAACAATCGGAGGCTACAGCAGGACAACGATCCCAAGCACCGTGCCAAAGAATTCCTCAAGGAAAATGTCCCGGAAGTGATCGATTTGGCTGAATTACAACAATTCATAATAGAAGAGTGGAATGCAATTCCAAATAATCTTTGTCAATTCAATGAAGGACAGATGTGCACTTATAATTAAAAATAATGGCGAAAGAATTTCTTATTAAACTTTATGTAAATAAAACAGTTTTTTAGCTTTTAATAAACAAAATTGATATGTTAGTTGTTGAACTTAATTTTTTTTGTAACACACTGTATATGTGCTTATTTATTATGTACGCGTCTGGCATTATGTTCAGCACAGCAGTGGCAGCAAGAAAATCAATGTTCAAACACATTAAACCATTTTTTTTAATCATCCAAAACCAGAAAGTAATTCTGGTGATTATAATAATATCAGGGGATTGAGGAAGAACTACTTTTATAAAGAGACCAAACATCAGTGTCTCAAGATCGCCAACAATAAATAGAGAGGCTTTATCTCTTGTTGAAGTTATAACAAGCATGTTCAATATCGTTATTCTATGATCGCTTATCTATTCTTATCCTCTCTACGTTTCAGCGTCGTCTCTGCCGCCGCCGATAATCCTCGTCGGAAGAGTCGGATCGCCTTCGTCTTGTTCGAGATCTAGATCTGCTCGACGATCTCCGCCTTTTGCGTTTAGAGCTATACCGTTTCCTACCATGACCGTAAGAGGATGATGAACTAGAAGAGCTTGAGGGTGACGATCGACGGCGACGCCTGCCTCTGCGACTGTCATACGATGAAGAACGCGATCTTTGACGACTAGGAGAAAACATTATTATAAGTGGATGGACCGATTTGCTGGATAATAAAGGTGTGTATCGCATACGTCTACATACCGGGGTCGGGAACTCGACCGACGTCTCGCTCTCGTTACGGATCTTTCTCGCGGCCTATGCCGTCTGCCTCGACGGTCAGATTCAGATGACTCTGATGTAGAGAGTGATTGCGACTTTCTTGAACGGCGCGCTCGATTCCGATGCCGAGAACGAGAACGGGAACGGGAACGGGAACGAGAACGAGAACGAGAATGAGAACGAGAATGAGAATGAGAATGAGAAAGAGAAAGAGAACGAGAACGGAAGCGGGAACGGGAACGGGAAAGGGAATTGGAAGGGGAACTAGAACGCGAACTAGACCGAGATCGAGATTGAGATCGGGACCTAGAGTAGGAACGGGAAGATACCGATCTTGAGAACGATGATGGGCGATCTTTTTTATATGACTGCGTGTGTGCATGCGTGCCCACCGTTCTGCAATGAGTGTGCAAGAAACATGTTAGACATTTTATACCAGTCAGGATAGAGATACCAACAAAAAATACCTGGGTAAATTTCTAGTCGAGTGCATAGCGCTTAACTCGGCTTCATTCCCTCCTAATCGTTCAAACTCCTGTTGTCGTTCTTTCATTAATTTCTTCTCCTCGTCCACAGCAACTGTGCGAAACAAACAGTATCAAATCTATTACAAAGACGCACTTTTGTGTCAAAAATTGTCTAGTCATTCATATACGCACTCTGTTTTTTTAGCCCCATTTGCACTTTTAATCTCAACTTCTCGGCAGGGGTTAATTTTTTCTGAACCGAACCGCTAGCAGCACTAGACCCCACAGCCTGCTTAGATTCTTTAGTGGATTTGCTTAATTCCCAAGATCAAGAAATAGTTCGGATTTATATAGTAAGAATCATATTCAAACAAGACCCCCGCGACTCTATTTCTCATATACTAGCCACGTTTCAAGTGCTTTTCAACCATTGTGATAAGCAATTTCTTGTAATGCCACAAGATATAGCATCCGCAACATCCCGGGCCTCCAATATCAAATGTTCAACTTATCCTTCCAACTGCCATACGATTCAAACGAAAAGCGAAACTGCACCAACCGTGTGCTTGATGTGAAATCCTGAGTATTTTGTCTCGTAGAACTGGAATACCTGTCCATCTCTCGTGGAGATCGACCAGGGCTTTGGCGAGCATGGAAAGATTGCGAGTCGCCAAATTCGATTACAAATCCGTCATCTTGTGTAGAGTTTTTAAAGCCTTCGTCGGACGACGTTGAAGATGATCCACTAGGGTAGGTCAATAGGAATGAAGTTTGATATATTGTCGTCTTATATAAAGTATATGGAACATGCAAACAAATACGCGCTTACGTGTCCGTATATGGTTCGTATGTGGGAGAATCTCGTGCTGTGTAAGTGCTGCATGTATGTGAACTTGTCAGTAAAGCAAGTAATAAATCAAATGATAAACAAAACTTTTCATGGAATAAATACCAGCTGGTAGTGTTTCTACTTTCCTTGCGCTTTTCTCGGCGAGATTCGTGCCCATGGCGACGTAGTCTCCGCTCTTGCATCTGCATAAATTGCAATGTGAGCTGGGGATTCTCTACAGATCTATGTAAGAAGGGAAAAAAACATAGAAAACCATTCGACACACTTTTTGATTTTCCTTGAGTTCTTTAGCCTTTTCTACTCTATCACGCTTAGCCACGCGTAATAGTCGTGTGTAGTCCGGAATGTTATACTTTCTACCCATTTCATTCAAAATCTGGCGGTCTTTATCCGTAAGATCATCTACATAATCCAATATATCCTCCTGTGCAATGAACTAATTAAGGCGTGATCTATAAATATGGAGGATTTCTTTCATTAAATCATCAACAATCCAAGGATATCTTCCAAAAGATGAGATTCTTCCTCGCTATTAGATTCTTCCTGTCTTGTTGTACCATAATCATAAGAAATACCATGACTACTACTACTTTCAGGTATTCTACAAATAAATGAAGCAGTTTTTGAGCGTAACAGCACATATTTAAGGAAAGACAAAAGTTCGCTATTGGACTACAGACTGTTGCTGTAATTTCTTCATCATGGCTTTGTGTCGCTCCAACAATCGTGTCCATTCAGCCTCTATATCTTCGAGACACTCTGCTTCAGTGACTGTTAATACGAAATGGGCAAGGAAACCATGTCAGCTATGCAACTATAATCCAGCCACATTCAAATTTACGTAAAATACCATTTCGACGTTCGTTTTCAATCAAATCACGAAACCTTTCGAAATTCAATTCCTCTCGATAATCCCTTTCTTCGCTCGACTGTATCGGAACATTTGGATCATTAGGCGGCAAATAATCTAATAACGCACGCCCATCAAACCTATTTTTTTTTTTTAATTACACATTAATTTTCCACCTTCTTTTCATTGCAAACACATTTACAAGATGTCGAAAAACCCACCTGTCAATTCTAGTTTCATTATCACCCTGCCAAAGCATTCTATCAAATTATATCACAAAAAGATATAATTCACGTAGAGATAAAAAGTTAATTCGCTCGTATTGGTTTGCAGATAAAGATATATTATATTAGGGCTAAACGCAAAACAGAGCAAATTTTGAACTTGCGCAATAAACGGCTTAAACTTTGGTTTGGGAGATTAAAATTCTTAAAAAACGTTTAGCCTACAGGGACTTTTCGGGATTCTCATGAAAAAAATGTTGTTCAGCGTCTGCATGTAGTTTTATTGCGGACCCTGTTATTCGTAAGAGTTGGCTTGGATCACCGAGCTAAAGCAATAGAGGTAATGTTTTATTAGAAACGATAAAGGATGGATGAATGCATAGTGTGAAAGTTTAACTGCATACTCTGGATTCATAATATGCCCTCCTCCGCTCGGCGCGGCGTTTATGGTCGACCATCAATTCCTTTATCTAATCAACGGTGGGCCAAGCAGTTTGTAAAATAAGACTTGACATTATCCACGTAAATTGTTACAGAAACGATACGCTACTTTCTTTTCCGTTCGTCTTGCTTCATGCCACATCGTGAATACGCTTTTCGAATGTGTTCCGATCACAACTCTGCTTTATGATCATTATATGGACATAATTTTTTACAGGGGTTAGTTGTTGTGACACATGATCTCATAAATATGTCAGAGTTAGTTGAGCGTTTTAAAATACTAACAATCATGCCTTTGATAAGCTATGAAATCACGGGACATAGTCTTACCTACTTATGAAATATATTCTTGTGAGTTTGTTTTATTTCGATTGAACCATCACTCATATCTTGTTGCTTTTCCACGAATATCCATATCAAGTATTTGCCATTGGTGAGTACAACTTATTCTGGTGTAAATTCAATATTCACTACCTTCTTTATCCTTACTATCATTATCTTCATACAATTTTCGTCAATCCAACGTTGCATTGCCTTAATGAATTTTTTTTTTTGTAGTAATTTCTTGTCTTAGAAGCAGCAACAGCTTTCCCTTTGTATGAATCTCAAACGCCATTTATATAAATGGAAATTTGGATAATTCCACAACGTTTTAATATCTGGCGGATAAATTTATTCGTCGACCTTACTTAAAGCTCTCGTATTGTACCATTTAGCAGTGAACCAAGAATAAGGCCAATTAATATTTTAGTGGTAATATTAAACCTAAGTCACATGCTACCTACTATAAAGGACACGAAAAATTCTTGCTCATACTATGGAACATGACTTCTCACGAAACGGAAGGCAAGTTTACCTTCGTAGCTCATTCCACTTAATATCTCAATATTGCTAAAGTCTCTTGTTGTTACTAGGGATCCCGATAGATGTCCCTGATTTTTTTACTTTGGACTGTCAAATGTTCAGTAAATTTACTCCTTACTCTATTCGGTGATAAGATTTTGAAGAATTATAGCAATAACCATATTTTTTACCATTATAATGAATCTATTAAGAGAATTAAATACTAAGAATGTGTCGAGTCAACAATCGCGGGAGAGCAATCGATTGTCATCAACTCTTGGGATTTAACTATCTTTCGAGCGGGGCTGTGGCTTCTCCTGCTTTAGTAAATACTGTTAGTGTTTTAAACTGGGCTTTATTGCTTATGACCTAGTATCGATCAGTCGACACTAATCCTAGAAGGCCTTCCGCTGGGATTAATTCGGAAGCCTATAGGTTGAGGTATTCTTGTATTTAGCAAAAATGCATTTGCACTTAAGCGAATAACAATCATAATGCCACGAGAATATCCACGGACAAGAAGCAAATATTCCTAATCGGTATAGGGATTAGCGGTTTCAAACTATACCGATAATTACCAGAGAACGAATTGTATTTCAGAGTTATAAAGAACTCTCATTTATTAGAAAGGAATATTAATGGGACATTAAAAAAACATGAACATGAATTGAACATTTAAGGAGCTTAAGAAACGTGATGAATTCTATCGGAAAGTCGCGCCTCCTTAAATTTAGTTACTGATTGCGATTGTATTACTATTACAGTATTATTGTTATGGCAGCGGACAACATACTGTTTGTCACTTTTGGATATACTGTAGTACCAAATGACAAGCGCGCAAAGTACACAGTGAAAGTCGATATAACGGTTCGTTGATATATCAGATTTCGCTTAGTACGGATTTTTTTCTTGGAACCAAAGTTTTACTAATTAAATATAACGATTTTACTATTAAATTGCTGTAGTGCGGTTCCGGATTTTTTTCGATGAACGGAGTTTAGTGATGCATTGTTCAATATAACGGAATTATAACAGAGTCCGCTATAGTTCATAGGAGATCCGTACTAAAGTGGCCGAATCCGTTATAATTTGTAATAGATCCGTACTAAAGTGGTCGGATCCGTTACAATTTGTAGCCCGAATCCGTCATAATCCATAACAAATTTATCCGCCAATGAAATAAGATCAAGTTGTCAAATATTTTTCCTTCTTGTATATTAATGACATTTAACAATATTATGGGGGGGAAGGACAATGGTTTCGTTAACAGCTTTACAGAAGAAAGAATAGTCCTAAAAAACATGATGAAAAAAAAAACAAACAAACGAGTCTTGATCAATTTCTTGTTTTTGATTATTGACGAATATACTTTTACATTGACAAACTTAATAAATATCAAGTAATAAATACAAACCGCTATATCGAACGTTCTCTGAGTTTGCTATATCGGTTTTCGGTAAACCGGATTGTCACGATATAACGGATTTTGTGCCTCTCCCGTCGAATCCGTTATATCGACTTTCACTGTGTATTGTGACATAGAAAGGAAAACAAATATAATATACTAAGATTATTATAGCACAAACATTAACTAAATTAATATAAACTCTCTGTCAACGCGTATTTTATTTCCTGAGACGCAACTTTTATTCATATAAAGATATTTTGACATTGAAATAAAATTGTTATACTCGGCAAGAAATTAAAGGAATGCTCAAGTAGCTGCGGCTATATCGAGATTCACAAATCGTCGATGGAGCAATAATTCGAATTCCTTCGAATGCTCTGTTGTAAGCGGGATGGGATCTACTATACCAATCCCCTGTGCCGGGTATACAATATCCACTACATCGGCTAGTTTATTAGTCTATGAATTACTTTATGATTTCTGGATAAGAATAGAAAACACGAGGTGCCATTGAACAGATAATATTTCGCTGCTGCAATGCGTTTTGCGAAAGTAGTTCCTTTTTGATAACATGGTTAGTTAAACGCAAAAAACTATATACACATAAATTCACACTTTCCACAGTGCAAATGGCCAAAATAAAAGGGAAGGAATTGCTAGGTACAGTATCGCAAACCAGGTGACACTACTCTGAGTTTAAAATTTTTGGGCACGAGATTCGGGCATAATTTAGTTTGGTAGTATTTTTATTTTATTTGATATGAAACACGTTATTAAACGCTGATAAAATATTCTTCAACAATGAGAATTAGTTGTCCCACGCTTTTGTGTAATATTATGGCGCGTGCTGCTATACTGTAGACACGTTATTCACAATTTTCTCCATGCCGAATTTTCGTAACAAGATAGGAAAAGAGGCAACGCAGTGAACATATTGTCTCCAATTGGATTTTTCTCTATAATTTATAACTATGATTATTATGATAACTAGATAGTGTTTGCTCAAACTCTCGGTCAGAGGCAGACTATCAAACATTATTTCACACAGTTGATATGAACGGAGCATATGGTTGGCATGTACTTGTGTATGGCAAGTTTATTTCCGCCGTTAAACTTGCATCGTTACGGAGCTATGCAGCAATATCGTGATATGTCTTTGAGGGACATGAGTGGATTGATGATTCATCACCTAAGATTTTAGTTCTTACAGGAGTTCCAGATATATTTATTCTTCAATCGGAAGATTCGAATCTGCTTTTATCGCATCTCCAGGATTCTTGTTCTGCATTTTAGTCATGAAGTGGCTATCACGTCTATCAAGATCTTATTGGCCAACTGCATGAGGCCATTTGGAAAAGAACTGGGTTGGGGTATGAAAACAATGTCAGGAAGTACGCAGGTGCTGAAATCTTCGAACCGAGAATGTTGTTACGTATTTTATTCAGCATCAACCTCATTACCAATTTCATAAAACATTAGTCTAAATAATGTATCATATTTTCTTACATGTCAAATGATCTACCCCCGGCAAAGGCAACTAACAGTAAGTGCACGATTTTATTTCGGAATCTTGTTGACATGCATACATGGAAGCACATCGTATAATTCGAAGAGGAACAAACCTTTGTCGTACAACTGTAATAAGCCCGTTGAATTACAAGTTTATTCAAAAAAGAGTTCGAGTCTCTAAATTATAAGAAATGCACGGTGTTAATATTTTAAATTGATACGTTATTTGTATCAACGTGTAAGTACCTGCTGCTGAATCCATATTGTAGGTATTTCTTGGTTTAGGTAATTCTCCTGTAGGTAAGAGAATACTAGAATATTTACTCTCCTTTTCGAGACGTGATAAGGGTTTTACATCATTATGATAGATAGCATTCCATATGACAGAATTACCATCCACTTTTTTAATAAGATTGTAAATATCACTCCAAAGTGAATATACACCTGGACGCTTATCAGGATCAGCATCACAACACCGCTCGGCAAGTTTCTTGTATTCCTCTGGTGCGGAAT